TGCCCAGGGCTGCTCTCAGGTGATTACGCTCCACTAGAAGTCTCTACGGTCTCCTCTAGCTCTGATATCTTCGGTTCCAGTTTGGCAACAGTGTTAAGGAGACTAAATTGTGCCCATGGATAATTAGCACAGAGACCTCTGCCAGTGGAGAAAGCTAGGGGCAGGGGTGGGAGTCGGGGACAGCCTGACTTGGGTCTTGAAGGGTGGGAATCACTTGGACAGAAAAAAGCACACATCAGGAGGGAGGAATGAGATGGCTCAAGGGGTCCTGGGGGCTGGAAGGAGAGGAGAAGGAAGCAGAGTAAGGGAGCTAACAGTGGGGAAAGAGGTCAGCGGGCTACAATGAGTCGTAGCAGAGTAAAGGACGGCCTTAGAAATTAACAGAAAGGTTTGGGAATGACCAGCAGCCTTTAGGGGGGCTTTTAAGTCCTACTTGAGGAAGCAATTTGATAAAAACGGCGTTCTAGGAATAATATTATACCATGCTACAGCCTTTAACCGGAGGGGGGATATTAAGAGAAGAGTCAAGTTTGTTGTTGTTATTCTTTCTATGTCATGTTTTAAAAATTTTAAATGGGGATATTAACTCTTATCTCCTAGGCTGCTATGAGAAAATGTGATGTAAAGTGCTTAGCTCAGAGCCCGGCACATAGTAGGTGTTCGCTAATTTGATAATGCTCGTTATTATCATCTCTCTGAAACTTGCCTTTGACATCAGCAGATCCCGTTTCATAATCACCTTAGCCCTAGTGACTAGTCGCCTTATCCACTGTCTCTCCAAGGGGGGCAGGACAGGCTCCCCGCATGCTCAGGCATTCAGGAGGCACACACTGACCTTTAGATGGGAGGTAAGGAAGGGGCAGGGCAGGGAGAGGGTAAGCAGGAGCTTTCCCTACATCTCCTCCCTGTTCCCTGCCTTGGTTCATCCCCTTTCAATGAGGCTACTCATCCTCTCTGACCTGGAGCGGGAAGCTTCCTCTGCAGCACCTGTCCACAGGTCTTGGGGTGGTGAGGACGCTGCACCACGATCTGTGCTTACTGTTCCAATCTCCAGGAGACAGGAAGCCTGGCCTGTGGGCACAGTCATCTTTCTTCCGCAAGACAGCTGTCCCATGTCCCAGCACTTGCCATCACCCCATCAGGAAGGTGCCATTGTTAGCTTCAGGCTGCAGCCCTCCTTCCATCTGCTCAGGATCTGGGACACCCCTTCCTCTCTTCCCCCCAACCCTCATTCGACCTCCTGAGGTGCCACCCTCTTAGGTCCACAGTCAGCCACCCCTCAGGGTGGTGGAAGGGACCTCAGTGGGCTCAGTCCTATTCCTACAGATTATAGAGTCTGCTAATGGACTGAATTGTGTCCCTCGCCCCCAAATTCATATGTTAAAGCTCCAGTGTGAAGGCATTTGGAGGTGGGACCTTTGATAATTGTATTTTGGCAAAGTCATGATTGTGGATCCCTCATGATGGGATTAGCCTCTCTCTCCATCTCTTTTTCTCCCCACTCTTTCTCCTGTGAGGACACAGCAAGAAGACAGGAAGACAGTTCTTACCAGAATCCAATCATGCTGGTACCCTGATCCCAGACTTCCAGCCTCCAGAACGATGAGAAATAAATATCTATTGTTTAAGCCACCCTGTATATGGTATTTTGTCATAGCAACCCGAAAAGACTAAGACATGGCCCGAGTCCTGGTTTGAAATACTGGAAGTTGGTCCAGTCAAAGAAAAACTTGAAAATAGGTCACCTTTTACCCATACTTCTTCCCAGGAGGGCAAGTACTGAGCCTGACTGACATGGGCCCAGCAGCAGGCAGGCAGGGGAGGGAAGGAGTTTCTTCTGTCTTCAGATGAACAGGCCCAACACCATAGAGGTTGTGCTGGTTCCTGAGGAGGCTCACCAAGTAGGAAATGCTTCCAGAACTATTCCTTCAGTAGAAGTGGGAGCTGAGCCAGAGCGGCCATCTTGAACCATGAGCGGAGGTCACACGCTGCAAGGCCACAAGATAAAAGGGGTCTGGGGTCCTGGGCACTTTGTGCAGAATGGCTGTCATGGGGCGCCTGGGCGGCTCAGATGGTTAAGCGGCTGCCTTCGGCTCAGGTCAGGATCCTGTCCCAGTCCTGGGATCGAGCCCCACACTGGGTTCCTGGCTCAGCAGGGAACCTGCTTCTCCCTCTCCCTCTGCCTCTCCCCCTGCTCATGCTCTCATTCTCTGTATCTCTGTGTCTCAAATGAATAAATAAAAAATCTTAAAAAAAAAAAAAAAAAGAATGGCTGTCATAGCAGCCCTGGACTGCCAGCCTCTGAACCTCAATGGGAGGGAAAGATGCACTTTTGTTTCCTTTAAGCCACTGTCTTTTGGTCTTCCTAACTCACAGCCAAATAGAACGATAACTGATACTGGTTTCAGAAAAGGTTGGCTGTTATCTGTCACATGATTACAACTATTTAATGTCTATCTTCCCACTGGATTGTAAGCTTCATGAGGACAGGGACCGTGGCTGTCTGGCGCAGTAAATCCCCAAGGCCCGATCCAGGCCATACACACAGTGGGCACTCAGTAAGTGTCTGTTGAATGAGTTGGTAAACCCACTTCATGACCTTCCTCTCCCCAGGCTTGAGCACCAGCCCTGGGTCTCACTTAAAGCCCATCTCCGGAGGAAAATCTTCCCTGTCACACCTCATTTCCTCCTGGTTCCTCTTTATGCAGGTTGCTGGGAACTCATCCTTTGTGAGTGACAAAGTTATGCTATTTGACAATCGTTCTCTGCTTAGTCCTTGGATGCTTATGTCATTGCTTACCTAGACCATAAGCTACTTGGGCAGGCAAAACACTCTGTTTTTTAATCACCGGGAGCCTTAACCCCAATTCCTCATAAATGCGTATAGTGGACAACAAACACTTCGTGTAGAAAGGGAGGGAGGGAGGAAAACCTAACAAGGCCCTGACACTGAGGAAGAATATTAGATTTCAAGTTGGGGAGGCTGCTTTTCAAAAAGGAGAAATAAATAAGGTCAAAAAAGAGCAGTCGGACTCCCAAGAGCTTAACTTGGAAAAAAATTTCAAAGGCAGTTTGGTGTGTTGAAAATGGGAAAAATATGGGATTCTGGGGTTCTTTTAGCTATGATCTCGGATAAGTCACTTTACCTCTAACAATCCATTTCTTTATTTTGACAATCAGGTTTGGCTCGATCAGGGGTCTCCTGGTTGTGCTCCAAGGAACACAAGTCAGGGACTCCAAGAAGCTGGAGTCCAGCCCACCACCTCAGCCAGAACTCCATTCCCTTCAGCTCCGGGCATCGGCTCCCCCATAGGATTTAGTTTGAGCAAAAGGCTTTGGAGCTAAAGTAATTTAAAAACCACTCAAGTCAATGACCCCTCTCCACAACTACATAAAGATCTCTGGTTTTATGATTCAACCAGTTTATTCTCAAAGCTGGAGCCCTCTTCAAAGAAGAAAGGCTATCCACGGGCCTTGGTCTCATCTTCCCAGCCAGACTGTAAATTCTGAGAAGGGTGAATTTGGGTTTGTGGTTCTCAGCCTCCCACGACAAGCTTCCCATCTGGGCTCATGGAATTTCAGCAACGGCTAGATATATAGAAGTTCCACAAAGTTCTGTGGCCAGATGCCCCAACAGGGCAGCAAAAGACTATGAGAAAGAGAATCTGATACACCCTGTGGAGTTCTCAGGGATACAGGGACCCCCATATGGGTAACTGGGGCCCTGAGCTCCAACATAAGTGTTTCTGCTCATGGGTGTGTGTCTTCAACTTCACCACATTTCTGGGGCGCCTGGGCGGCTCAGTCGGTTAAGTGTCTGCCTTCGGCTCAGGTCAGGATCCTGGAGTCCTGGGATGGAGCCTGCGAGCCTGCTTTTCTCTCTGCCCCTCCCCCCCCCATGCTCTCTCTCTCTCTCTTTCTCAAGTAAATAAAATCTTAAAAAACAAAAAACCTTTACCACATTTCTATCACCTTCTTCCCAATCCTGGTTTTCTCATCTTTTTCCTTTTCCCACTTGGCCCTCCCTGCTCCCCCGTCCTCCCAGGCTAAGGTCTGTGCTCCCTCTGACCCTGACACTTACTAGAGCCCTGAGTTAGAGTCCTGGGTATGGACCCGGGGTTTGAGCAGCAAGTCAGTGAGATGTCCAGGACAAGCAGGGCTGAATCAGGCACCGGGGGCTTTGTACGCAGGGAAAGAGGCACCTAAAGGGGCCCACATCAAGAAACAAGGACCGTAAACAGAATGTGGTACCTACCTACAGTGGAATACTACTCATCATTTAAAAACAAGGAGATTGTGACACAGGCTACAACACGGATGAACCTTGAGGACATTATACTAAGTGAAATAAGCCAGACCGAAAAAGACAAATACTGTATGATTCCACTTATATGAGGTATCTTGAGGAGTCAAATTCGTAAAGACAGAAAGCAGAATGTTACCAGGGGCTGGGGAGTTAGTATTTAAGGGATATACAGTTTCAGTTTTGTAAGATGAAAAGGTTCAGGAGATGGGTTGCAAAACAATGTGAATATACTTAACACTATAGACCTGTACCCTAAAAATGGTTAAGATGAAAATTTTTTATGTATTTTGCCACAATTTTTACAAAACAAAGAAGTACCATTTGAGGGGTCCCTGGCAGCCCCAGTGCTCCTATACCCCCTTCCTGTTCACCACCTGGAGGTGAGACAAGGTGGGGGAGTGAGCCTTGGAAGGAAACAAAACTCCAGATTACAGCTCCACCAACTGCAGCCCCCAACCCCCCGGAGCTCTCTGCTCATGGGTCTGACCTTAATATTTCCAGATCCCTGGGCTTCGGCCCTTGTCTCCCAGCTCCCAGATACTACTCTTTTTCTCTGAGGAATATGCATGAAACCTCATATCTCATACACACACACACACACACACACACACACACACACACACACACGGAATCAGAGAATCTGGCCCAGGCTTGCCAGAACCGTTTATTTACAGGGCGGGCTACTGGCCCAGGGTGTCCTCGGGGCTGTGATGCAGTGGCAAGTCCAGGACCCCAGCTCCCCAGCTCCAGCTCAGTCACTCTGGGCCTCTGGCTTAACTCGCCCCAGAAAGGTTGTGGCCCAGGGCCAGGCACCTGAAAGAAAGTGCTAGATGTGCCCCAGCCCCTTATCACAAACCCCACACCCCAATTGGGATGGCCCTCAGCCAGGGGAGCCCAGGCAAGGGAGCAAATAGGAATAGAGTCAAGGGCACAGGCCTGGGCACTCTTCCACCCAAGGACCTGGCTTTTGCATGTTCAGGAGCCCGTACAGGAGGCCCCAGGCCGGAGGGAATGGTCTCGCCTTGAGAGACCCTAATAGAGAGGCTGTCAGGTGGGACTGATGAGGGTCAAGACAGGGTGCAAAGAGCAGGGAGAGCTCAAGGCCAGGCTGGAAGGGACCGAGGGCAGGAGGCAGGAGCACAGAGAGTACAGGGAATGGTGGGCAGGCCAGGCTGCTCTCCCATCATGACCCCGCTCTCCTCTCCTAGGGGGTCAGATTTGGGGCAGAAAAGCTCTAGGGCATGTGGTGGTGTTTGGGAGCCCCTGGCAGACCCCAGAAGGGACCAGGAGGGAGGCTGCACTCACCCTGAGGGCTCTGCTTCACCCAGACATGATGTGTTTGACAAAGGCTGGGAAGGGAGACAGAAATCAGTCACCACACTTGGCCCCTCTCAGCCCGACTTCCAACCTTCCCACCACCCTTTCTCCAGACTCTGATTCTTTCTCTTATTTGGGGTTGTTGTGGAGAAGCTGGAAGAAGAGACCTAACCTCTGCTGTGTCTTCTAAGCTGACACCTGGACATAGATGAAATGAGCTACGTTGTCTCTGCTAATCCCCACAACCTTAAGAAAGGTGCCAGCATCACCCCGTTGTTCAGATGAGAAAATTGAGGCTCAGAGAAGGTAAGTGACTTGATCTAGGTCACACAGCCAGTCTATCTCCAAAACCCATGCTCTTTCCATTATACTATGCTGTTCACTCCAAGGATGGAAAAGAACATCCATTGGGAACTCACCAACACCTATCTAGCCTCTAATTCCTGGATCTGTTCTGTTCCGCAGACCCGCCCAGCCCAAACTGTGCCCACCATCCCCGGGTGCCCAGGGAAGTGAGACATGACCTGATACCTTCGTAATTGATGCACCCGTTGGCATCCTCTTGCCCAGCCAAAAGCTGCTCCACCTCAGCCTCAGTCATCTTCTCTCCTGGGGTGGGGGCAGTAGGTTCTGAATTACACATGGCAAAGGAGGGACAGGCCAAACCCAAGCATCCCTCGAGTCTCAAGGCCCAAGGCTCCCCAGATCTGGGAAGTGGACATCCAAGCTTTGGAGGGGGAGCCAAGGGTCTTAGGTCTTTCCTACTCCCCACGGCCTCTCCCTCTGCCCTACAGCCAGCACTGGGGGAGCAGACCAGGGCCCCCGTGACTGAGGCAATGACAAGGATGGGATCCCTGGGTCCCACATCTCAGGCTTCAGCCCTGCTCTGCCGACCTGCTCGCCTCTCCTTCCAAGCCCAGCTGAGCAGACCCAGTTGGGGGAAGGTCGTTCCTGCAGAGCCTGGAGAGACAGGGCCTGAATCAGGATGTGATCCTCAGGATGTAGGGACCCCAGTCTACCCCCTACCTATGCCACCTGGGCACTTCCCACCACTCCCTTCCTCCCCCTTGGGCACCACCAGCCTGCATACCCAGGGTGGCGAGGACATGGCGAAGCTCAGCACCCATGACTGTGCCATTACTCTCCTTGTCGAAAACACGCAGCCCTTCCACAAAGTCCTCATAGGTGCCCTGCTCCTTGTTGCGGGAGATGTGCTGCAGGATGGGCAGGAACGTCTCGAAGTCCAGCATCTTCGCATTCATCTCTTTAGGCGGGAAGGAGAGAGAATGTGATGTGAGTAGAGGCTCAAGGGGAGCGGCGGGTCAGTAGGGGACCTCACCCCAGCTCTGCCAGGCCAGGACCAGGGCGGAAGGGAAGAGCCACTATGACTCCACCCAGACCTCTAAGCTCCAGGTGGCCAGCTGGGGGGGGGGGGGGGGGTCCGAGGGTGGTCGTGGCAGGATCTGAGGGGACTGAAGGGTCACAGAACCAGGCCTCACTTTCACAGCTTAGACTTTTGACATGTGACAGACATATCATGGAGGTAAACCGATAGGATTGCCAAAAGGGAATTTTGCATCATTCCTCCTTTGGGTCTCATCCCTAGACCACGTTGCCTGGAGCAACGCTGAATCAATAATTTTTATAAATTTGCAATTCTTTTGTGATGAGCCAGCCCACTTCTCCCACATTATGGTGTGTTAAAAGCTTTAAATTTTAAATACCACAGATGTTGGCAGTTCTTTCTTCTGTAACAACACAGGAACTTCCAAAAATGGAAGCTCCCAGACATCTTTTACCTCTGAGAAGCCCTGCTGGTCCTCTGGCCCCTTCCTGCCCACATCCTTCACCCCACACTGGTATCTTCACGAGCAAGAGGAGGAAGGGAAGGGGCCAGAACCAAGGCAAGGGGAGGGGAGCAATATGGGGCCCAGGAAGCCTCTAGAGAAGGCCTGCCCTGGCTGGGGGGCTCCTGCCCAGGTCTGCCTGTCCCCACCTCATGCCGACACCTCTCTGAAAGACGTGTGTTAGAGCAGCTGTTAACTCTACTACCAAACATAACAGATGACAGTCACAAATAGGACACATTGCCTTGCACCACTTTTGAAACTCGTTCACCAAAACCTACTGAAAGCAAATGAGTGACAGGGCATCATTACGGAGCTCAAATTGAGTCCGCTTTAACTTGAATGAATAATTTGCAATCTTCAGTGCTCTCACCATCATTAGAAACAAAGTCTTCGTGACATTTCAGTGCAGTAACGCCGCAACTAAGATACTGGGCGTGGGGGTGCGGGCAGGTGGTTAGTGGTCAGATCCCCACCTCACTTCCCTGCACCCCGGGGTGTCAGAGGAAGACACTGAAACAATAGCAGGTCGTTCCTGCCCTCCGGGAGCTTTGACTTCACAGGGAAAACAAGAGCAAGCCCTGACCACATTCTTCAAGAATCGACTGTCGGAGACTTCCAGATAAATTCTAGCAAGGGAAGAAGGGTAACCTGGGGAAAGGGTCTGGTCTTGAAGGGCTATCACGGGAGAAGAGAAAGAGCCCCAGGGGCCTCGGGGCAGACACCAGGAGGTCGAGCCACAGGCCCACGCTGACCTTCAGGCTTGGGTTTGCCCAAGACGCGCAGCACCTCGGCGTTGGTGGGGTTCTGGCCCAGTGCCCGCAGCACGTCCCCACACTGCCCATAGGTGATCTTCATCTCTCCAGTCGGCGTCCGGTCAAACAACGAGAAAGCCTCTTTGAATTCTGCAGAGAGAAGACCTAACTGCAGCCTCCCTGGGGCTAAGCGAACACAGTGGCCGGGGGCCCATCAGCCTCCACTCAGGCTGAGAGCAGGTTAATGTGGCTGATAAAACATTTCAGTATTTGCCCTCGGCCATCATTCCAGCCCCTCCCTGGAAGCCCACCCACGCCATCTTCTGACAACCAAAGGGGCATCCTGGAGCCTCCGTGACCTGCTCCAGTGCTGGGCCTAGGATCCCTTCTATCAGTTATTGTCCTGTCATCTGAATATCTCCCCTGCGCCGCCCCTCCCGTCCACGCACCCTGCCCTGCTGCAGGGGAGGGGTCTGTCAAAATGGCAGAGAAGTGAAAATAACACCGGCTCAGGAGTCAGGATTCCCAGCTTCTCATCTTGGCTCTGCCGAGTAGCCCAGAATGAGCCCAGCTAGGACTCCTGTGCAAACCCAGGGAATAAAGCTCCACCCTCCCCTCCCTTCCCAGTTAACTGTGTCAAAGGAGGTGGTGGTGTGCGGTGGCACGCTGCAAAGTGATAAGACCTGCTCAGAAGTCAGCTCACAGTACGGCCTGTTCCAGGCCAGACAAGCTGATGTGGTCGAGACAGTCGGACCACACCAGCTCTCCCACTGACCTACCACTGGCCTTGAGCAAACTACTCACTTTGGTGGGCCCTCATTTTTTTTTAGCTCTAGGTGGGGATATAATGTCCACCAGAGTGAGTTGCTGGGGGGATTATCAGATGTACCAAGCATGCTGTCTAGCACATGGTAAGGGAATCAACAAAGGGTGGTTACTATCGTTTCCCTAATTCTGGAGCCAGCTCAGAGCTCTAGGGACTAGACTCCCTGAAGGTACCAGGGCAGGTGTCCAAGGAGCAAGGTCAAATTAAGGCACTCCTGGGCCCTTTGCAAAGAACCTTAATTCCTCATTAATTTGGATTCAACCAGTTCATTACTGGGGATAATTTGGACTGGGAATAGCAAAGAAATGGTTTACTAAACAGATTAACAATATAAACCAAGGAATGTATGAACCACTTAGGGAAAAAGCTGCTTTTAATCCTCACCAAGTACTCTAGAAACACTTATTCCTTAGAGGCTGCCTACGGATTATTTACAAATCATTTCACATATTAAAGCAGTTCTGCAAGATGTTTATTTGCAAGTCTTTACTAGGCTTTGTAAGAATTTAAAAGGTAAAAAACCACGTCTTTCAATTACTGAATAAGTTCAAATTCCATTTCCATTGCTTACTAGCTGTGTGATGTTGGGCAAGTAAATATTTAACCTCTATAAACCTCTTCTCCTCTATAAATGGCACCTACCTCATAGGGTTCTTAAATTACATTCAAATTGGATACATTAATGCATGTTAAAAATCTTAACAAAATGTCCTGCATAAAGTAAATGCTCAAACAATGCTGCTAGTCTTATCTTACTGCGTTTAATCTCAATTTTACCACTTAACTATGTGATTCTGGCCAGGTCACTTAACCTCACTGACCTTCATTTCCTCTTTTGTCTAAAGGAAATAACCCTTACCCTCCAGTTTTGTTAGAGGATTTAATTTTTTTTTTTAACTTTTAAAGCAATTAGCGTGGCTTCTGGCACAAATTCAGTGCTCAATAAATATGTTAGTTGAATCTGAACTCAGACTTTTTTTTAAAAATGATTTTATTTATTTAACACAGAGAGAGAGCACATACATGGGGGGAGGGGCAGAGGGAGAGGGAGAAGCAGGCTCCATGCTGAGCAGGGAGCCTGATGCAGAGGCTCAATCCCAGGACCTTGGGACTGTGATCCCAGCTGAAGGCAGACACCTACCTGACTGAGCCACCCACGCGCCCCTGAACTCGGACTTTTTGATCTCCTAGTTCATTCAGAAGAGTGAGGTCAGATGTAATAAAAGAAGGAGCCTCCTCATAAAAGAAGAATATAATGATCCTTAACAGGAGGGTGGAACATGAGGGGGAAAGTGAAAGAACTATGACCTATGATTTGATCACTTACAATGGACCAAGCTCTGAGCTAATAATGTTGTCTTAATCTTTCAAAAACCTTATGCTATAGGTATAATTATCCTCATTCATAGACCAATGCACATGTGACTTCCGGTCAACTATTCAGAACACCAAGAAAATAGTGAGGAGGAAGGAGGAGAAGGGAAAGACCTATTGTACCTGCAACGCTCCAGCCTGCTGCAAAGCCTGGTATACACATAAACCCCAGACACTCAAGTTTAGGGCTGCTACTAGGTAGAAGACAAAGCCAGTGTGATCTTGGGGTGCATGAGAGGTGATGTGCATAGGCCCAGAAGAAACCTTTTCTCAATAGTCTATAGCAGTCAGGGCCTTGCTAGAGCAAGGAGCAAAGGTGGTAATCCCTTCCTGTAAGAATATGGAAATCTGGGTGCCTGGGTGGCTGAGTTGGTTGAGCGTCCAATCTTGATTTCTTGTCATGATCTCAGTGTCATGAGATCAAGCCCTGCCTCCCAGCTCCGCGCTCAGCGGGGAGTCTGCTGCTCTCCTTCTCCCTCTCCCTCTTCCCCCTCCCCCGCCTCGCGTGTTCTATCTTTCTCAAATAAATAAATAAATCTTTAAAAAAAAAAAAAAAGAATATGGAACTCTGGAGAGGGACCAGTAAGTAAGTCAAGAGTTAGAAGCTAGTTTCTACAAGGAAAAAAAAAAAGCATTAAAATAAAATGGGGCCATATCACCCAGAGAATATAAAACAAAGACAGGATTTGATATCTTCAAATAGAGGCTATCTAAAGGATGCTGAATAGAGTCATGGAACTCTGAATTGAAAAGAACCATATATTCTTACTTTGCAGATAAGAAAATTAAGGTTCAAAAAAGTGACTTGCCCAAAGTCTCATGGCCAATAGTGGCAGAATTAGGGCCAATACTAAAATCTCCTGATTCCAAATAACATTCTTTCTAGCATAACACAAGAAAAACATCTTCAGCTTCATCAAAGAGCAAATGAAGAGACAGCAGAAGTAAAATTCAAACAGAAACAATTCCGATCCAAAATAAGGGACAACATCTTCAAAGTCAGAGGGATGACCGAATAAAATGAGTTAGATCACAGCCCTGAAAATCTTCATGGACAAAAGAGGCAACCAGCTGTCCCAGTTGGCTTTGACCATGATTCCCATTTGGGAAATGAAAAATTTTTATCATTAGTTGACTCTCTACTCTTCATGGGTAGCACCATGCTTGTATCTACACACAAGTATATATTTAACCAAAACGCATTTAAATTAACTTTAAGGGGCGCCTGGGTGGCTCAGTTGGTTAAGCGACTGCCTTCGGCTCAGGTCATGATCCTGGAGTCCCAGGATGAAGTCCCGCGTCGGGCTCCCTGCTCAGCAGGGAGTCTGCTTCTCCCTCTGACCCTCCCCCCCTCATGTGCTCTCTCTCGCTCATTCTCTCTCTCTCTCAAATAAATAAATAAATAAAATCTTTTAAAAAAATAAAATTAACTTTAAGTATTTTACAGCACAACAAACTATTGACTGAAAGTGAATGTCCATGGGGTATTGCAAAAGCAGAGTCAGATTCAATTCACTAGTTTCAAAATGCATCTGCTAGTTCTCATGCCCTATTTGTGGGTAAATTGGCATCACTTTTTGGGAAGACAATTTCACAATAACTATTACAGTTTAAAATGTATGTATCCTTTGACCCACTCCTAGGAAGGTCCCCTGGGGAAAGCGTGCTGCCGAGAGCTCCCAACGGGAGACAAACTAAAGGTCTATCACTATTAGTCTGATTCAATTAAAAGGTACATCCATGTATAAGAATATATGTAATTCTTTAAAAAAAAATGAAGTAGAACTGTTTGTTAACTATAAAAAGATACCAAGGTATATTGGGGCGCCTGGGTGGCTCAGTTGGTTAAGCATCTGCCTTCGGCTCAGGTCATGATCCCGGAGTCCCAGGATCAAGTCTCGTATTGGGCTCCCTGCTCAGCAGGGAGTCTGCTTCTCCCTCTGCCCCTCAACCCACTCGTGCTCTCTCTCTCTTTCTCAAATAAATAAATAAAATTTTTAAAAATAAATAAATAAAAGATACCAAGGTATATTAATTTATATTTATTATATTATATATCTTTAAAAAAACAGTGGTTATCTTTTGAAGAGGGATCAACATGACAGGAAAGCAAGAGGAAAATATTTCTATTTTTTATTTACTTTTAAGTAGTATATGAGTTTTTGTTTTTGTTTTACTGTGTGCAGGTATTGGTTGACTTTTTTTTTTTTAAGATTTTATTTATTTATTTGACAGAGAGAGAGAGACAGGGAGAGAGGAAACACAAGCATGGGGAGTGGGAGAGGGAGAAGCCGGCTTCCTGCTGAGCAGGGAGCCCGATGTGGGGCTCGATCCCAGGACCCTGGGATCATGACCTGAGCCGAAGGCAGACACTTAACGACTGAGCCACCCAGGCGCTCCATAATTTTTTTTTAAATATAGTATGTGCTGGGCGCCTGGGTGGCTCAATGGGTTAAGCATCTGCCTTCGGCCCATATTGAGCCCCACATCAGGCTCCCTGCTCAGCGGGGAGTCTGCTTCTCCCTCTCCCTCTGCTCCTTCCCCCTGCTCATGCTCTCTCTCTCAAATAAATAAATAAAATCTTAAAAAAAAATAGGGGTTCCTGGGTGGCTCAGTCAGTTAAGCATCTGTCTTGGGCTCAGGTCATGATCCCAGGGTCCTGGGATCGAGCCCCGCAATGGGCTCCCTGCTCAGCAAGGAGCCTGCTTTTCCCTCTCACCCTGTTTGTGCTCTCTCTCTCTCAAATGAATAAAATCTTAAAAAAAAAAGATAAGGCTAAATGAAAGAAATTATTATTTTAAAATAAATAATAAAAATAAAATTGCACACCTCTTAAAAAAATAAAATAAAATATAGTATGTGCTTAGAATCAAGGGGTTGGATCAGATGACCTTTCAAGGTCCCTTTTAACTCTAAACTTCTAACTCTAACTAAAACTTAATGGTTTTATGTCCTAGAGGCATTTGGTGGGGAAAACAGAGGGATAAGTTGCAATGGCAATGAGCCCCAGCTATAAAGCAGATAGAACATGATGAAACATTCTATTCTCAAAACACCAGACTCCTACAGGAGAGGGGCAACAATCAGGTTGGAGGGTAGGAGATCTGGAGGCTTGTCTTGAGAGCTGCACTTAATAGCACTTCATATAACATTGAGTAAACAAATTGTCTTCATCAAAGATGGAGAAGGGTTGGTGATGGGGATCACAGGTGGACTAGGAGCCCCCCAGTCACCACTGGCCCTGCCACCTTTAGCAGGTAAGCATCTCGGCAGGCTACAGGATGAGCGGGGAGGATGCCAGTGACCTAAGGAGGGCTTTCCAATAACAGGAACAGAAATGAGGGTTCTAAATATCTTGAATAGTAGGTTTTGTGGGTGGAGGGGAAAAAAGACATTTTTGCTGTGCATCTATTATGTTCCAGGCGGTCTGGCAGAACAGTTGAGAATTCAGGTCTGCAATCAGAGTGCCTGAGTTTGAGTCCTGGCTCTGCTTACCAACTGGCTGTGTGAGACTGGGTAAACTACTGAACCTGTCTGTGTCTCAATTTTTCACAGTAAAATGGGGGTGATAATAGTCCCTACCTCCTGGGGGTGTCAGGTGAGAACTAAGTGAGTTAATCCACATAAAGTGCTTAAGTCATCACATATCCTAGGTGAAAATGAGCAAATACGGGTGAGCGATGATGATGATTAAGGTGATTACTAGGACCCTGGTGATAGCAACTACTCTTCTCCATCCTCCTCCTCCAGGGAAGTGAAGCAGAGGGTGTGCTGGGGGAGGGGCGGCTGTCAGCACTCACCTTCGATCTGGTCGGCAGTGAAGTCTATCTGTGGGGAAGGAAACACAGGAATGAGGGCTGAGACTGCCAAAAGCTCCCAGAGGGAAGCAGAAGTGGCTTCCACCACAGTCGGGGAGGGGGGAGGACCTCCTGCAAGCCACTAGTGGGGGGAGGAGACGAAGTACACCCCAGTCTCCTGACGAATGAACTACAATGAGCTATCAAATAGTGCAGCCACCAGGGCTCCCTCAATACCACGTGTGAAGTGATGGCTCAGAATGAGAGGGAAAGAGAGAAAGAAAAATACTCTAGAAAACTCTAGAACCTATGGTGACTCCCTATGGCTATTTCTTCGGGCCAAATGTAAATTGCGTATCCTAGCTGGCCATAAACTGCCCTCACTTCCAACCTGACTCCACAGTCCACCCACTTGAGTCAGACTTCCTCTCCCTTTGGGCATCCACCACTCTTCACCCTCCGCTCCCCTTTCCTCCTTGACGCTGACTCTCCATTCACCTCCTTCAATCCCACCTCCTCTTCCCTCACCCCATCCCATCCCCACCCCCCCCACCCCCCAGCACATGTCCCTCTTGGGCATGAGGACAGCAAGCCTAGCTTGGATGAGCCCTCGGTGTTTCCTAACTGTCCCACAGTCCTGCCTCTAGCTGTGCCCAGGCCTCCTGACCCAGGATTCCCCCGGACCAGGATTTTTGTTACTGCTCACAGAGATGCCTGGCACGGAGCAGACACTCAAAAAATATTTGAGTGAAGGAATAAATTTTGGATTCGCCCCCACGATGCGTAATAATTTAATGCTGAGTAGAGAAGAGGCAGGTGGGAGGCTCTGAAAATGAATGACAATGAACAAGCATGAGTCATTATTGTAATTTGGGATTTTGTGTGTTACTTCATCATCCTTAATCTGCCACCATGCTCCCCACCTGATCTCCTCTTCACCAGGGGTGGTAACCACCCCTGGCACATCTTTTTCACGGAGCAGCATTTCTAGTCCTAACTCTGTGGCTTGTGCTGTGCCCTGCAGGCGAACCCCTGTTAATGAGGACCTCTGGGGGTGGCTGGAATGAGCTAGGAGAGCGGAGGAGGGGTTACACCGGGTTGGGAAGGAAACTAGCTGTGATCAGGACCGGGCTTTGCCGGGGGTGGGGTTGGTCAGAAAGGTAAAGATACCCCTGAAATAGGGTAAAGGATGCTTTGCACGAACTCTCTGAGGGAAAGGCGCAGTTGCCCCAGGAGTAGATGTGTAAAAGAAATGAGTATAAAAACATAAAATCAGAATCTGTGGTCATAACCACACATATTGGGTTACGTTTACTTTTGTTCTGTCTTTTTGAGCAGAGTTTTCGAAGCAAAGGAACCAAGTAAGTACAGTAGTAGGGAAATCATATCCTTCCAATCATGAAGGACACCTACTTTTTTTTTTTCACTTTAAAGCAATTTCAACAACCCTCAGGATTGGAAGATCCAGATGTGGGAAAGAGGACTGCATCAAAAACTAAGGATTTATTATATGTTGGCTAACTGAACATAATAAAAAATTAATAAAAATAAATGAATTAAAAAAAAAGAGGACTGCAACCCGGGGAGAGAAAGCGGGGGAGGTGGGTGGATGGAGGGAAGTGATGAGTCAAAGAGAAGGCTCTGATCTGATACCACTAGGCAGCTGTCGCCCGGACACCAGGGACCAGGCTACCCCCCAGGAGGAGTGCATTATCAGAATGAAGCAGAAAAAAAAGCATCCTGATAGGGCGGGAGAGAGTCAGCTTTTCTTGTGAGGTTCTGCCAGTAGTGGGAGTAATGTATGACCTAGGTACTTTCAAGGTCTTACACGATCGCCTCCACGTGTACCATAACAAGCCCAGGGACATGCAACTGCCTCCATCTCTTGGCCAAGCCGGTTATGCTTGACCCCTGACCGTTGCAGGGATTACCATAGATCAACCCCAGGGTCCTCGGCACAACGGCAAGGTCTCCTGGGATTGTAGGTGCGGGGGAGGAATCCTGAGAGGGCTAGGGAGGATCATCCAAATTGGAGCCCGGAGGTTCAGTTTCCCTAACTTCTTGTCACAGAACCTGGTCCTGAGCTCCTATTTTGATCTGATTCTTCACCACCTCCAGCCCTGCCCTTGTGGCTATCCCCAGGGGCCCACCACTCCCAACCTGTTATTAATAGCTCTTCATACCAGTAGCACTTGACCTCTTAGGTTCTGGTGCCAAGACTTAGAACGGCTTCACTCTCCAGAGGCCTCTGACCCCTCCTTCCCTGGCCCAGCCCCTCCCAGTTCCATTCCTTCAGCAGCTGGGCCAGATAGCTGGGAGGCCTGAAGTGACTGAGTCAGCAGGCAGGGCTGGTGGACCAGCTGCAGGGAGAGGAACCTTCCAGTGAGGGGAGCAGGGCGGGCAGAGAGGGAACCAGGCCCCACTCCCTCACCAGGTTAGAGGGAAGGTCTCAGCCTGGGATGGGCCTGTCCACTGCATACCCCAGACAGGAGCCCAGGCTGAGGCCACAGAAGGAGGGAACCACTTTGGTAGGGGAGGAGAGAGGGAAACAGGCTCCTCTCACCTTACATAGAGCCTCTCTACCCCCAACACGTGCCCACTGAAAGGGTCTTTGAGAACAAAGCCTATTCCAGACCCCCAGCTCCCTCACTGCTTACATCACTTACTCCAAGTTGCACTGGTGGTTATCATGTGTCTCTTCACCAGCAAGATATCATACTACCTCTGAGGAAAGGGTCAGTCTCCTTCTCTTCACTATGATGGCTCCCACAGTGCCTTAAAATTTAAGGCTGAATGGTTAGTTGGTTGTATCTCCCTGCCATTCCCGACTCTGCTGGGTACATTTGGGATGACAGAGCAGGGTTTCCTCAGAGCAGAAACCTATTCCTGAGGGGAAGGCCTACAACCCCAAATACCCCTGAGCAGCCCCCATACCAGTTCCACCACCCCGGGCACCAGGATGTGGGGCATGGACCACCACAGCCTTCAGCCCAGTCCAGCCTCAGAAAATAGGTCTCTAAGGTCCAGGACAGACAGGATCCTGAATGTCATCCCCACCTCCACCCCAGTGGCTAAGCCTCACTCACCTTTACACTCTTGGGATCAAAGGCAGGTTCCCTGGGAGGCTCAGGAGCTGGGGCTGGGGCAGAGGCTGGGGCGGCCTTGGCCGCTTCCTTCTTAGGCTCAGGCTTCTTGGGAGGCATGTTGTCTTGTTGGGATCTCCGGGGGAGATGGAAGCTAGGAAGGAATCAAGAGATGTGGTGCCTGGGAGATGAGACAGGAGACTGGGCCGCCTCCCTCCCCTTTTATCCTGGGCAGGAGCCCCCACAGAGGGGCTGGGTGAGAGCAAGAGCAACTGCTCTGACTATAAAAGGAAGAAACACCAGCAGGGTACAGCTGACAACTGTGTATTGTCACCAGGTTTGGGGCAACGAGCCTCCCCTCCCTCCACACCTCACACTCTTCCTGGCCTCCAACTCTGGGACAGGCTGAACCCTTCCTGCCAATGGGTGGAAACCCAGAGGGGCCAGGAAAACAGACCCTCTCAAAAATGCCAGAGTCCAGCCAGAGAGATGAGCTGACTAGAGCAGTTGATAACCCTCACACAAAGCCCAGGGGAGGGTAAGGCTTTTTTTAGTCCCTCCTGAGCAGAGGCAGCCCACTGCACATTCCTTTTAAGCCTGGCTCCTTTAAGCTGAGAGCCACTCTGGGGCCTCAGCTCTGCCCTGAGGCTCAGCTCTCAGGCCTGGAGCCCTGAAGCAACAGCTGGTCCAGCCAACCCACACTGTCCCCACCCCTTCCCAATTCACAGGGTGAAGCCCTCCATCCTCCAGAGCAGGCATCCCAGAAACTCCACAGACCTCGAATCCCTGGGTTTACCCCCACCACCAGCAACCTCAATCATTCATTCAACAAGTACTGAGCGCTGAACTTGTGCCTGATGGGCTGGAGTGAGAGGCAGGGAGGTGTGGCTCAGAGTCAGTGTGACTGGAGGTCAGAAAACTTGGGTCCCGTTGTCACCATACCTCTAACTCACTCTGTGCCCCAGGACTCTATGTGTGTGTGTGCATGTGCGTGTGTGCGCACGTGTGTGCATGCGCATGTGTGCATGTGCGTGTGTGCGCGCATGTGCTTGTGTATATGTGTGTGTACATGTACACTTATCTGTGTATGTGTAGTGCTTACTGTGTACCAGGCACTGTTAGGCGCCATCATATAAAATCTCATTACGTCTTCACCACAATCCTATAAAGTAGCTATCATTATTACTCCCATTTTACACTTGGGGAGATTGAAACTAAAAGTGGTCAGGTAACAAGGTCACTCAGCTAATTAGCTATGAGCTGGATCAGAACCCAGGTGTGTCTGATTCTAAAGTTTATGCTTAAATCATTGAGATCATAATCCCATTGATGAGGGGGGCGGTGCACACATAATATGTTTGTGTGTTCATCCGGAAGGTCAGGCCGAATACACACTAACATGTTAGGAAGAAACACCCCTGGGACCTGGGGGCGGGGAGGAAGGGGGGACAACGGCAATTCATAATTTTGTACTTTTTTCACTTCCTGGTATTAATGGAAATTTTTAATAACGAGCATATACTGTTTTTGTAAAAACCATTGAAAGTCTATAAATGTTCAGAAAACAACAAAAAAGAGCTTACCTACTGCACAGAATTGCTTTGAGCTGAACTTTAAGTGTCTCCAGTTCAAAGGATAAAAGTCCAAGCTGAGAGAAGCCGAAGTCACTCTCTCTAGGCCCTCCCTGTGAAGGGACCCTCCCGATGAAACAAGATGGCTACACTACATACACCTGCGTGCGATTCCAGGTGCCCGGGGCCCACATCCGCTCCTTCCCCAGGCTCCATTTCCCAGATCTTTCCGAGCCAAAGGGGCCCTTAGAGTTGGTCTCATCCTACCTGCTTTTGTAGGTGAGGAACCTAATGCCCAGAGGGACTTTTAAGCGGCCTGGAGACATTCAGCCATTCATAGGCAGAGCCGAGCCGGCTAATTCTGGCTCCCGAGCGGTGTGTGGAGATCTGCCCCCGCCCTGCAGCTCCTACAGCCTCGGTGGGCTCTCACCACTGGTACGCAGAGAGGCCTTCAAAGGAAACTGAGGGAGGAAAAGGAGCCAGGACTTGCCCCAGGGGATACAAGAGAGAGCAAGACCCAAACCCAGGCCAGTACTGGTCCTGGCTGGGACAGAAGCTGTTGGCCCTTTCACCTCACCCCACCCCTCTTCTGCCTCACCTTTTCTCTTCCTTCTGACTTCATGTCACCTGCTTCCAGGGGCCTCTGTTTGCACCCTTCCATTTTCCCTATCTTTCCCTTCCCTGACTTCCTCATTCCCCAGGGGTTGGAAGCTCAGGTTGCTGGTGGTGAGGAAAAAGAAAAAAGGAAGCCCAGCCTCTCCCCTCCTCTCCTCCCACTGCACCCCCTTCTCGGACTAGGTGTGCTGCAGGGGTTTGCAAAGATACACAAACCGGGGTTTGGTGGAAAGCTGCAAGCCGGAAGCTGGAAGATCCAGACACTGGTCGTGACCTTGCGAGCCACTCCCCTTCTCTGGGCCTCAGCTTGCTTATCTCTAAAATGAGAGATCATCAGGAGCTTTCAAACAGTGTTCAACAGACATCCAAGGATCCCTTAACTTGCTTCCGGCTGCAAGGGACGCGGAGAGGCCAGGTTGGGAGCTCCCCCTGCCATTTCAGTCAGCACCACTCCTGTGTTTTTCTACACTGGGGTCCCACGATCATTGTCTAAGAAATGATTCCATGGTTTAAGAGTCTAAAAATAACCACTGAATGAAATGCTCTCGCATTTCCCCTTCCAGTTAAGAAACAAGTTATTTTAACCATTCTAGTAAGAAGTTTGATCCTCAAAAGACAGAGTCAGGAGTTTCCTTTCACTTATCTTTCTCTTTTTTTCCTTTTTCCTTCTTTCTTTGTTTTAATTCTCAGGAGGAGCAAAATATCCAGTCCACTTGGAAACAGAGCTCTGAGGTTAGAGAGCTGGCTGAGCATCTGCAGACATGAAAGGGTGTGGGCCTTCAAGACAGATGAGCGTAGGGCCAAATCCTAGATTTGACATTTCCTATCTCGGGCCCAGGACCCTAAGGACCTTCAACAGTAAACGTTTCCTTCTCGAGTTGTTGTGAGATCTGTATGAAACGACATAAGCAGAGCACCACAAACCATCCCTGGCACATTAGAAATACTTACAGCTGTTAATTTAATTCACTTTCCTAGATGAAGCGAGATGTGTGTTGGGGTTTCTCAAACTCCCTGGAAAGAACTCCAGGAGAGGGGGCCCCCTGGGGGAGGGACAGGTAAGGTGGCAGCAGCTACTGGGATTGGGAGGTATGGGTTTAGGAATGAGGAAGAGCTGGAGAGGAATGGCGGAAGGGGGGAGGGCGGCAGCTGGGTACCCATAGTGTGACATATTTGTGGCTCAGGAAGCATGTAGCAGGTCCCTGGGGCCAGGCAGCCTGCCTGTCAGCCACACTTACACAAGGAGCCAGCCTGCCTGAAACCTTAGGCCACAAGCACCCCAGTGGGGGAGGAGATACTCCTCAAACCAGTTTCTGATTCTCTTTAAGCAGCACCAGGTAAAAGAGTATCTGGCACTTTAGAAGCAACTAGAGGGGAGTGTGGTTTTCCAGAAAGAGCCATGCCTCAAGAGTCAAGATACCTGCCCCTGGCCTTGCTATTACCACCATTCACGATGCTCACAGCCCAGAAGAGCCCAGTAACCGGAGCCAGAGGTTTCACTTTTGCAGCCCTCATTCTGCTTCATGGTCACTGACTTTTACCTTCTTGTCCCTCTAGAGTATCCGGTGCCGGGTCTATGACATCGTCTTCCCCCTCCAACACACGCTGACCAAGCGGAGCAAAGGAAAAAAAGAGAGAAGGATGGAAGAAGCAGAGCGTGAAGAGGCAAGTATAGTAGTGGGTACTGGAAGCCTAACCAGCACCTCTGAGGCCTCTAATGGTTCCTGAGCCAGAGTGGCTCCAGCCCACTCAGATGCTCCCACTGGAAGGACTTCAAACTCAGTAGATGGAAAACAGGACAGAATTTCACACCAACCCATTTACAGCCCATGTCAAATTCGGGGATAGACGCATAGAGAACTGACATCAGCCCTCATTTGGGCTGGGCTTACGCACACTCGCTCGCTCTTCTCCCTTCCCCTCTAACCATGCACGCCCCGCGTCCTGTCCTGAAAGAGATCCATCAGAGTCTCCTGCCTGGGATCAAATGCTGCTGACAGCAGGCCTGGCTCTTAATGCCTTGTCCTTGTCACCCTCCCTCCTCTCTTCTGGCCAGTGCCTCATAAGCTAGACATCATGGGGCAATGCCCTGGCCAACACGAATCTGTCCCCATAGAGGGCACTGGGTAAATTGGGCTCTGCCGCAAGTCAGGGGTAAGAGAGCCCACTCAGGAGCCAGACTGCCCAGGTTAGAGTCCTGACTCAGTGGGTTAGGCAAGCTAGTTAACTTTTTTTTTTTAAGATTTATTCATTTTAGAGAGAGAAACCTTGTGTGTGGGGGGGGGGTAGAGGGAAAGAATCTCAAGCAGACAACTACCTGCTGAGCTCAGAACCTCGATCTCACAACCCTGAGACCATGACCTGAGATGAAATCAAGAGTCAGACACTTAAACGACAGAGCCACCCAGGTGCCTCTCAAGTGAACTTCTTTATGTCTCAGTTTTCTTATCTGTGAAATGGGGCTGCTAATATAACCTCATAGATTGGTCACGAGGATTATGTGATTTGGAGGAGAGAGAGTAGGGGCCAGGAGTGCAGCAAAGAGGCTGCTAGAGAGTCGAGGCAACTCTAAATTTCCATTATTCTTGGATCCTGGCTGGTTGGGATAGGGGATCGTTGAGCCCAAGGGTCAAGAAAGAATTCTTGAGACATTTTACGGTGCAAAAAGGTGTTAGACTTACTATGAGTGACATGCCTAGGACAGTGTCTAGGACAGAGCAAGTCATCAAAATAGCTGAGCCTGGGTCCTGATTGAAATCGTGTGGCTGCTGCCTCCTCTCCCAAGATCAACAGTGGAAGAATTATACAGAGGAAATACCAAGAAATGAAGAGAACTGCGAGAAATCCCTTGGATGAAGGGGAGCCCTGTTTTGAACTGGTGTGTGTGTGTGTGTGTGTGTGTGTGTGTGTGTGTGAGAGAGAGAGAGAAAGGTGGCTGCTGCCTCCTCTCCCAAGATCAACAGTGGAAGAATTATACAGAGGAAATACCAAGAAATGAAGAGAACTGCGAGAAATCCCTTGGATGAAGGGGAGCCCTGTTTTGAACTGGTGTGTGTGTGTGTGTGTGTGTGTGTGTGTGTGTGTGAGAGAGAAAGGTGGCTTTGGTTTGGGGAGAGATGTCGCCAGGCAAGGCTGTGGAATGACCAAAAAAAAGGAGCTCTGGGGTTCCAATCTCTCTCTTCCTCCACTACTGCCTTCGAACATACAGCGTTGCCCCATCACCTGTGTGACTCAAACCTGTGATCCAGGTGCTGGTTAGGGTGACATCAGGGCACAGAAGATGCACTGTGCTTGTGAAGAGCTAGTAAAAAAAAAAACCAAACAGGGGGCAACTGAACTTTGGACAGTTGTGTTCTCCCTCCTTCCCTAAACTCTTAGGGTGGGTGAATTACAATCTAAAAAAATCTCCCCCTACCAAGACTGCTCCTCTCTGGGGGGGCGGGGGGGGGAACTGTTCTCAGTACTAGGGCTCATTCACCCCCAACCCTTACCCCCTGAGCTCAGTGGCACTGGCATGCTCTATTGGACAAGCAACCTATGTGTCCTTAGGCAAAATACCAAGACAGATGAGGAGCACAACTAATCCGAAAGGATACAGCCCAGATGGTACCTTAAGTAGAAATATGACAACAGACAGGCCAAGATTTTAAAAGGAGCTTAGCAAACATGCTAAAAGAGATAAAAGGAAATATTACCGATGTGATACAGAACAAGAAGACATAAAGAAGAACCAAACAGAAATATCAGATATGAAAAGTATAATAGTTGAAATAGGAAAAAAAAACTTTCATAAAACAAGCAACATGTTAGGTATAAAAAATTAACCATTAAAATAGAACACACAATAGATTTGAGAAGTAGCACAATGGACACAGCTGGGAAACATGGTAGGGTACTGAAAGGCAAAAGAAAGAATATCTTCCAGAAGAAAAAAAAAGAAAGGCAAAGAAATAGAAGAGCTAAGAAATAGGGGGGATAGAAGTAGAAGGGCTTTGTGGTTTAGAAAGGCAATCAAGCTGAGTATACATCTGAAAGAAATCTCACTCAAGTTCAGAAGAGACATGAATAGAGAGAGGTTCTTCGCTGCAGCATGACTTGTGGTGGCCAGAAGGGGAAGCAATGTGGGTCTCCATTACTGAGACAGGCCATGAGAGAGTACAGACCAGTTAGAAGCAAAGGATCAGATGTGTATCCAGAAGAATACAGCAATGAGTAAGAAGCTGAATAAGATATAAACCACAGTTACATTTCTATAAATTTAAAATATCTGCATATAATCTCAGTGATATCATACTGCATACGAATGAGCTAAACCTGAAGCTCCAAGGAAAGAAAATGCTTATTTGCAACTTAGCTAGGTAGGTACAAGAATTTGTGCTAAGAGTCGCCACCGCCATAGCCAGCCAGTTGCAGGGCATCCAGCAGCTGCTGCAGGCCAAGAAGCGGGCTGCCGAGAAAGTGTCGGAGGCCCACAAGCGAAAGAACCGGAGGCTGAAGCAGGCCAAAGAAGCAGCTCAGGCTGAAACTGAACAATATCTCCTGCAAAGAGAGAAGGAGTTCAAGGCCAAGGAAGCTGCAGCTCTGGGATCCCATGGCAGCTGCAGCACCGAAGTGGAGAAGGAGACCCAGGAGAAGATGACCATCCTCCAGGCCTACTTCCAGCAGAACAGGGATGAGGTCCTGGATAACCTGCTGGCCTTTGTCTGTGACATCCGGGCAGAAATCCATGAAAACTACCGCATAAATGGATAGGGGAGGAAGGAGCAGCTCTGCGTGCAGATTGGCATGTTCGATGCCGTCATGGAATACGAAGCTTCAGCAAAACTTGAGTAGTTACGTCCTTGTGAAAAAGCATTAAATTATTTCTGTATATTATGTAGTAGTTCCCTTCACTTCTTGGAGAATAAAAAATCTAGCTTCTTTGTACAAACGTAGAGCTTATCCAAAGATTTTCTCCTTTTACCTCATGTTTCTTAGAAATTTAATGTGTATACGTTGTCTGTTTTCCTGTGCCTTTTAGCTCAAGCAACATATGTATCAGTACTTTTTCTTTCTTAAACGTAGTAAAAAAAAAAACAAAAAAAAACTCTGTTTGAAGAAAGAAAGGGATTAAATATTTTTTTTTCCCTAAAGCTTTCTTGAAGGTCAGGGGCTTTCTCTATGAAAAAGTAGTAAATAGTTACTGTAACTTGTGTGAATCAGCAGCCGGCCTTAAGTCGTCCCTTCGGCTAAGGGTGGAACAGCGAATACTAGTATATATTGTTCAGGCTGCTCTTAGTTTCTCTTAACCAAAATTATCAGATGATAGAATTCAAGAACTTGTATACGTGTTCTTACTTGGTGTGCTGATAATCATTTGAAAGTAAAGACTTTGTCATGCAAAAAAAAAAAAGAATTTATGCTAAAACTGAAGCCTGCCACAACGCAAATTAATATGCATTTCTCTAACATAAATATGCAGATTTTAATCAACAGCATTATATAAACTGGCTGCAAAAATAAGAAAAGTTTAAATGTTTTGTTGATATTAATAAATTTGGAGTTGCTTTTCAATTTATGCAATATCTCCTTGAATTTCATGTTAATAATACTGAGTTGACACAGCAGTTAGTGAATTTACTTGACTTGGACATACTTTTGATACTGATATAATTCTTTTAACATAGAGGAAGCAATTTTGTCCATTTGGATGCAACTATTAAAGGAAAATGATTTTTTTGGTACTTGATTCAGTTACTGGAAAATTTTCAAGTATGCTTGGAAAACTTAGGTATGTGAATCTACTTTTTCAACTGTGAAATTATGAAATCTAAATACAGATTAAGTATTTGTGATGAAAATTTAGCATCCAAATTGAGATATGCTGTAAGAAAAAACACACAATGGGTTTTGAAGACTTACTACAAAAAAAAAGAATGTAATATATCAGTAATTTTAATATTGTTTACATGTTGAAATAAAATTTTGGCTATACTGGGAGAATAGGATGTATTATTAAATTTTATCAAGTACATGCATACTAGAAGCATTACACATACAAACAAAAAATACACATTAAAAATATTTGAGGGTTGCTTATGGTGAGTATTGTTTGGATGGGATGGGGCAACGAGATAAAAAGGAATAAATAACTAATTAAACAAAAAGCTTTGTATGGATCAGTGATGAAAGAAGGCTATATAACTCAAGGAGAATGATTAACCCAATCCCCTATAGCTAAGATTCCTTATGACCAAAGAAGAAGGAAAAAAGCAATGAAAACCTGAAGTCTTAGTGACCCTGAAAACCGAGAGCACCAAAGGTAAAGGCAGAGAAGGAATGGAAGGGTCTAAAATCAAATTAAAATAAAAATTTTAAGGGCCATTGATAGCACAGGTCCTCTGAGCACTTTAAATCATCCCATCCACCTTCATTTCCTCAGCTGTTTAGCATAAGTGGAGAATGCTCCACGTTTGGCCCAATCACTCAACAGTCTGTCTAAATGGCTGAAGCTCATTGCTGTGCTGTGATCAAGGCAGTGCAGCCTAGTGATGGATCTGTGAGCTGAACCGTGGGAGGAAGACATTGGGCGGGCCCCAACAACAGGTGGGTTGGAGCCCGCCCGAGAATCTAAAGCAGAGGGCAGGACAGCTGGTGTCTGGCAAAGTGATTTATAGTTGAAAAGCAATGGAGAGCAAGTCAGAACCCTCACCAGTCATCCAAACTGCATTCCCCCAGACATCCTGTCAGCTGCAAGGGACTTTAGAGGCACAGACAGAAGGGGGTGACTTGCCCAAGGTCACACTGTGCGTCATGGCAGATCTGAGACTAGAACCCAGGACACTAAGGTGACAGTGGGAGCTGGTAGAGCCAATGGGATTCCCTCATGGAGAGTCCTGGCCCCCAAGAGGACAAGAAAGCATCAGTGACAGCTGACCCTGTCACCCACAGCATGGGTGGCTCTCAGGAAGGAAAAAGAGACTCAACACCTTAGCAAGCACTTTTTCTCAGCATTTGGGGACATGCTTTTAGTGCTAAAAATGATTCTCTTCTTTGTTTCCCTTTCCACCAACTTCTTCTTTTACTTCTCAAATTCTGACTTCCTCCCTAGCACCCCACCAGTGACTTCTCTGTGGCTAGACCTAGTGCTCTTGTCTCTGGGCCTTCTCTGCTGTACTTATCATACCAGAGTTCTGTCACTCACCCGGCTCTCCTGTATCTCCTTTATCCTGATTACTCTCATTCATCCATTCATCCATTCAACTAACACTTATTACACCTATAGTATGCACATGCTTTTACTAACACGAGTAAGAGGCCATCCCTGCCCCCAAGAAGCTTCCTGTCTGGTGTGGAGGATGCAGATAAATAGTTTTAATGTAATGATAAATACTCTCACAAAGGTTTTATAAGGTATTACATAACCAAAATAGAATGCATTTAGTTCTACCTGGAAAATCTCTATTTTTTTTTTTAAGATTTTACTTATTTATTTGAGAGAGAGAGCACGAGCAAAGGGGAGGGACAGAGGGTGAAGCAGACCTCCTGCTGAGCAGGGAGACTGACTCGGGGCTTGCTTGATCCCAGAACACAGGGCTCAATCCCAGGACCCTGAGATCATAACCTGAGCCAAAGGCAGACACTTAACCAACTGAGCCACCCAGGCACCCCTGGAAATATCTCCAGCTCCAACTTTTTTCCTAAATTGTTCAAGCTTCATGTTTTCAATTAACATTTGGACATTTCTCACCTGAGGCACTTCAAACTCCGTATATTTTGAACATAGCTCATCACCTACCTCCCAAATCATACATTTATGACACACAAAACAAACTAATAGCAACAACAGGGTCTATTCGAGACAACTACAGTGTAGACTCAAGACTGGAACATAATCAGGTCTGTGTTTAATTCATTGCCATGCAATTTATTCAGAGAAAAATGAAAGTTTGCCTAGAATCTAAAAAGGAGAGAAACAGAGAATCTACCATTCAGTGAACGTCCTCTCCAGATAATAGAAATATTTTTAATCTAGCAGTCAGGCATATATGTCCATTCTGAGGAAAAGGAGTTAATAGCCAGCCAGATCATTTGATTCACTGTTTTGGTCAGTCTGCACTCAGTAAGCAGCCTTCTAGTTGGAATCTGAATGTCCTGAAGAGAAGGAATTGGAGAAGAATATTTTTCACTGTAAATGAGTAACTTGGAACTATTTTCATTTTGCGTCTTTTTTCAGATTCAGTTGACGAGAGAGCAAGCTGAGGGCAAAACACGAGCTGACACCCTGAAATCCCCCTTCCCCCCAGGAAGGCCCCACAAGGTGGGATATACATATAACATTCCTCAGGCACTAGGAACTGCCTAAGAACAAAGGCAGGGGAAAAATAAATGGTCAACTGATAAATATTGCAGCCGTGTAGAACACGAAACTTCATTATAGTATGTAACTGTCTTCATGATTTATAAGAAGAATACAATCTTAATAATAGTCAGACCTCCAGGAACCTATAGACTCAATTTCCTGGAGCCCTAGCATCACCTTCACCTCCATAGGATAGAAAACCCTATATGATCAGTCACTCCTCACAATCACAATGCAGCTTGTTCTGCCCATGGGTCCCGTCCCTGTGCTATAATAAAAACACCTTTTGCAGCGTAAATCGTCTCAAGAATTCTTTCTTGCCCACTGGGCTCAACAATCCCATATCCCAACTAGCTAGGACCCAAGAATAATGGAAATTTAAGAGCTGCCTCAACTCCCTAGCAGCCTCTTCTGCTGCACTCCTGACCCCTACTCTTGCTCTCCTCCAATTCACATAATCCTCAGCTGTTAGCATAATCTTTCTCAAATTCCATTCTCATGAAGTCACTCCCCAGCTCAATCACCACCAGCAGCTCCCAAGGTCTATTTTATCAACCTAAAGTCATCAGTTTGGAACCCAAAGCTTATCAACTGTCCCCTACACTACCATTTCAACAAAGCTTATACAGCCTTAACTCCAGGCAAGCTAATTTGCTTACAGTTTATCTTCTTCCCTGTGCTTTTGAAGTCTGCCTACCCCTCCCTGCCATAGGCCATGTAGCCCATCTCAGAGTGCACCTCAACCAGGATGCATTTCTTTTCTTTTTTTTTTTTTTTAAAGATTTTTTATTTATTTTTTGACAGAGAAGACACAGTGAGAGAGGGAACACAAGCAAGGGGAATGGGAGAGGGAGAAGCAGGCTTCCCGCGGAGCAAGAGCCCGATGCGGGGCTCGATCCCAGGACCCTGGGATCATGACCTGAGCCAAAGGCAGACGCTTAACAAACTGAGCCACCCAGGCGCCCCTGGGATGCATTTCTGATTAGCGTCAACACTTCAGACCGCTTTGACTTGAAATCCCTTAGGGACTTATGCACAAAACCAGCATGTTCTCTGGGTCCAGAAAGGGAGAGTCAAAGAGCATCAAGTTATGACCAATAAGAGATAACACTGAGTGGTCATGTCTTTTAATCATCAGATACATTTATGATATTTCAATAACTATATTTGTGCAGGGCACTCTACTAGATAATGGGGACATCAGGGTGAGCCAAAGTCCCTGCCTTCATGGAATTTATATTAAACAGATATAATTAAAATGACCATACATACTATGAGGGAAAAGAACAAAGATTCTGTAAGAGAGAATCAGGGTGGAGCTAATAATTTTGGTTAGGTGGACAGGGAATATTCTGAGGACATAATATCAAGGCTGAGGCCTAAAGGATGAGTTGAATTTAGCTAAAGAGTA